TTCTTGACTCTAAGGGTTTTCACTCCAAACTGGTCTTGCAAAACCTGGTCAGGCTTTGGCATCAAATAGTCCTGATTCTCAGTACAACCACTGATTGGCTATGTAGCTGGATAGACTCTGGCTAACTATCTTCTCAAGACTCCAATTTTCTCATCTATTAAACAAAGACTTCATAAAATTGTTTGCAAATTAGATAAAGTAGTTTATATAAAGCATAGGAGATTTTATTAATAAGAGTACCTTTTTACTGCTGAAAATACATGTTTTTGTTGTGTTTTATTTTTAGCATTTTAGTCCATGTTTTCAGTATTGTTTCTCTCTCATAATCATTTTGCATTATTTTCATTTAATTCACTAAAGATTGCCTTGCATTGAAATTCATAGTAGAATTCACCCATTGTATGATATGAGAAAAAAACGATTGAAAGTTTGTTTTCATTTGAGCCTCTCTTGTACTTGACCCAGAAGAGTTTCAGAATCACCTCACTGATTCTGACTGTAATGTGTCCCATCCTGTGTGTTTAGATCCACAAAGATTTTATTTTGTTGGCCTTTGGAAGCTGCTTACTCATACTTATCAGTGTATGTCAGATAGATTTGGAAAACTAAGATATTTCCATTCTATCTGCTTTTAAAAAGTTGCAGTCTTTTCCTTTGTAGAGTGAGTCTGGACAGATTCACATAGTCCCATGTTAAGTATCGTCATTGAACAAAATGAGCACACACACGCACAGAGGCCAGAGCCTGTGACCTTGAGATCCTTCCAATACAATATAAATAAATGTACACATATATAGGATAGGTATGTAATACGATAAAGATCATTGAATTCAATCTCGAATTGTTCTTATCACCTGTAAGATGGCTAAGGCAGAGGAACAGAAGAGCTACTCACTGAAGATCTGCTCTTTACATGCTTTCTATTCTTTGCTTATGGAGCAAGACAAGGGATCCCATACAAGTCCAGTCATCTGGATAAACTTGAGGCCAGTGAATACCTCATGCTGTGAATTACCTGAGGTCTTTGAAACTATCGTTGCTCAGTGTGGAATGCCTTCTGCCTCCACTAGTTCATCTAACTGCTACTCCATCTTCAGAATTAAGCTTAAATGTGAATGTCTTTCCTCCTCACCCCACCACCAGCCTCACCTTTAGGTGCCCCTTCTACATATTCTCAAATGCCCTGTGTTTACCCTCAGTTAGGAAATCCTCATGAACTGGATTGAAATTTACTTGATTTCTCATCTCTTTACTCCAGTCCCTTGAGCTCAAGGTTTGTGTCTTAGGCACTGATACAACTAGTGCCTAGTACAACAGAAGCACAACAGTATTCAGTATGTATTAATTATAGCAAAACAGTGTGTGTATGTAATTATCATGGCAGTTAAGGGCATGAGTTGTAGAGTCAGATATCTAGGTTGTGACTTAGTGCATGTCCTCATGTTTGCGATCTTAGGCAAGTTATCTAGCATTCCTATGCCTTGGTTTCCTCACCAGTTAAATGGATATAATGATAATGTGTATCTCATGAGATTTTTGTGATGCTAAATGAATTAATGTAGGTAAAGTCTTCAGAACAGTGCCTAGCACACAAGTCCAAAACTGTTACTAATATTATTCTTGTGTTAACATCTGTTTCTCCCGTCTCTGTTTCACCCCCACCTCAAACCGCTGTTTTTCCCAAACACGCGTTCACAGGAATAAAAGCAGATTTGAGGGCCAGGATGACTTGGCCATCTCCTTAAACACCACTTTTTGGCAAGCTTTCTTTGGGCTATTAGAAAGACAGCATTATTTGGAGGAAAGAGTACTAAACTAGAAATGGTCCAAGTGCCAGGTTGCCTTCCAAAACATCTGTCTCAAAAGAGAGCACTTGTGTGAATGTGCTGGTTACTCTATATGCTTTTATTTTATAAACAGAAGAGTTTTTGAGACACATTGTGTTGGATCTCATGTTAGAATCCCTCAGCACTACATTAGGTACTGTCAGAAACTTGGAATCTGTCTGTGAGATACAGGGAAAAGCACATTAAAATAGGGGTGAGAGAATCTAAACATGTTTTGGAGCGTCACAATTAATCTGATCCTTGTTAATGCATAAAATAAGGAGGCTGCATCTGATGCGCTAAAGTCTGAAAATTCAACGAATCTGTTTTAAGATAGTGTAAAGACATTGAAAGGCAACACTCACATCAAAAGAAAAATTGTGTGATATATAAAGGAATATTATTCAGCCATGATAAGGAGGACTGTCTTGCCATTTACAATGTGGGTGGACCTTGAGGACATTATGCTAAGTGAAATATGTCAGACAGAAAAAGATAAGTACTGTATGATTTCACTTATATGAGGCATCTAAATAAGCAGAACTTGCAGAAATAGAGGGTGAAATGGTGGTTACCAGGGGCTGGAATTAGTTCTGGACATCTACCTTATAGCAGGGTGATTACAGTATTATGTACTTTGAAGTTGCTAAGAAAAGTCTTAACTCTTCTCACCACACACACACACACACACACACACACACACACACACACACACAGAGTAACTATGGGATGTTTTGCTGTAGTGCTAATCCTTATGTAATATATAAGTGTATCAAATCAACATGTTCTACACCTTAAACTTACACAAAGTTGTATGTCAGTTTCAACTTCATTTTTCAATGATGTTGAAAGGGAAAGAAGAAAACGTAAAAAATTAATATTCTTGTGAGGATGGGTCATGGAGTGAAGGTGACGGCAAAAGGAGACGAGGCAATCTCAGAAGACTCCTGGTTTCTTTGCACTAGATCTTGAGGATGCAACAGACTTTGTTGTAATTTAAGTATGTGAGAATAAGAGATGAGATTTTATTTCAAAGGGCATTTGTATGTGGAATAATAAGCATCTTTAGTTTATTTGAGTGCAATTTTTTAAAAATTCTTAGGTTCCAGTTGGTCATTCATGGTACCCTAAATTTCTTTATGTTTTCAAATGTTTCCTAAAACCTTGTGGGGTTTTTTTGGTTGTTGTTGACTTTTAGATTTCATGTATTGTCTGATAGCAACCACTTTTTAAAAACAAATCAAATCCTGTTGATATAAAATGGAGTTTTTTTTGTGATGTTAGCAGTTACACAAGGGAGCATAAATATTGTAGAACATGGAGATTAAGTAAGAAGGACATATTGAAATGGGTCATGCTAACCGAGGCAGAGGTGTTCTACATGTGCTGTGGAGTCCGAGCCTTGATGCGGGTCACCTAGGCAAGCCAAGAATTAATGAAAATAAATGTCAATGCCAGAGGTGACAAGGTGGGAAAAGTAACTTCCTGTTTATTAATGCAGCTTTTCCTATCACAGAGAACTGTGTAGATGGTAGACAATGACACACTTGAATTCCTTAGCAAATCAGATCTTTACAGATGGAAAGATGCTTCCGTTTACAAATAAGAATTAAGAAATAAGAAGTAAGCATTAACACAAGTGGTAACAGCAACCAATCAAAGCAACATCTTAATAGTGGACATTCTGAAAACATGAAAAGCAGTTTACCCAATACCTTTGTAAAGAAATGTCAAGGAAGGAAATAAATTTCAGATCACAACAAGAAACAAAACCTAATAAAGGGGAATTCACACGTTTGTAAGAACACAGATTTAAGCTCTGAGATATTAAAAAAATACAATAGCAGCTTTTGAAAATGCATCTCAGGGACCTTTTGGAATATATTTTAATATACACTTGCTACTGTGTAGTTTCCGCTACTTGAGGGCTAAGGCCAGTTTTCTATTTGTTTTTCAGTACATTCAGAGTAATGCAGTTTGGGATTTCAGATCAATAATTAATATTCTTATCTAAATTCCTATCTCAGCCTTTCTGTGAAGTGGAGAGAATGATATCTGATGTCACCAGAGTATTTTAACTGTGTAATGACTGAGCCACTGTTAAGATCAAAAAGCATGGTACTAATTACAATTAGTGACATTTATGAATAAATTTAAAAACTACGGAATCAAAAAAGCTTCTATATTTACAACTTTTTTTTTAATAATTCTTTACAGAGTTTTGGCATTTAATCCCCTGCTACTCCTCAGAATACATTTCTTGCTTTATTCAGAAAAAAAGTCTCTTTCTAAATGCTCTTTTATGAAAGATATCATATGTAGTGGTATAACAGTATGAAGTAAAATACTGATTCAGGGTTTACTGATGGATGAAATTAATTTAGAGAAGAAATATAAATAGAAGCAGAATAGTTATGGGTAGATAGTTGTCCACATGAGCTATAATGAGGAAGGTATTGCTTCGGGCACAGGTCCAGGTGAACTCCTTTGAGAGCTGAGTTGATTGTTTCATTGGCCCACTGGCGAGATCCTCCCAGCCCTGCCCTCTGCTCCTTGTCTTACTGAGAGCACACTGACCTGACTGATTGCTTCATATCAAGCCCTCATTCTTGGAATGTTCTGTAGGGCAACTGTGTTTGTAATCCCAATAGCACAATGCAGCACCACTTTATTCCCTACTACACGGTTTTGCTGGATACCAAAAGGCAGGGTGGTTATTTCAAGGACAGCACATTTGCTGATTTAGGTGACAGGGGCTCCCACTAAGATGCCATCAAGTCTGAACAAGGACATATTTATTCCAACATCAGAGCTGCCCATCATGAACTAAGTCTAAAAATAGCTTTCACTGATGGGCATCTGTAACCTTTGGTCTTTTTCACATTGCACTGGCTAAAACCTCTAACAACTCTAGCCCTAACATTAGGAGGTTAAGAGATCCAATTAACAGTCTTCTGTTAACAGTGCATTTAAAAGGCTATCATTTTGATGCCTTCATTTTCCTCACTGTGACTTCTTTAAAGAGAAAAATAAATGAAAATGATGTGACCCACAAACACTTATTGATTATGGGGGCACGATGTTGTATAAGAGTTTTATCCTTACCAACTATAAAAGTAAGGATGTTGGACCCTGCACATGCGAAGTCCTTTGTTTGCTGCTTTGTATTTCCAGATGACCAAGAATGGCACAGTGGAATCTGAAGAAGCTGGCACTCTTACAGTGGATGACATTTCTGATGATGATATTGACTTAGACAACACAGAGGTAGATGAGTACTTCTTCCTACAACCTCTGCCGACAAAGAAACGAAGAGCACTGCTGCGGGCCTCTGGAGTGAAAAAGATTGATGTTGAAGAAAAGCATGAGCTGCGAGCAATCCGTCTCTCGAGAGAGGACTGTGGCTGTGACTGCCGTGTGTTCTGTGATCCAGAAACATGCACCTGCAGCCTGGCAGGCATCAAGTGTCAGGTAAGGATGTGCCTTTCAGGGAATCCAAAGACAAGAGTTAATACACCATCTTCTAAAGATGCCGTTGTTTTACATGTAACAAAATCTCCGACATGTAGAAGAAAACTTGGGGTGAGGCAAGACATTACTAAAGACTAGTTTAAAAACTAGGTGTCATTATTTTAGGTAGAAACTTGGCCTTTTTAAATAAGGAGAGTCCCTCGGGCAGGCAGAAGAGGACAGTTCTCATCAGCTGAACAGCTGCTTGAGGTAGATTCACAGAAAAAGGATTCCAGAGTCAGAAAACAGCTACAGATTCTGGTTGTGACATCTGCTGCTGTTTTTTATTGGGACCAGGATGATTGTGTAAGAATCTGCCTTCTCCTCTGTAGCACTGGAAATTGCCCATGTTTGGATAAGGTGGCCAACAGGGCGAGTTCTTTCTGATTATCTGTGCTCTGGTCTGCATACAGGCTGATTAGAGGAATGAACACCCTTAGATTGCCCAGAATTCTACATATCACTTGAGTCAAACATTCAGTCCAATAACACTAGCTAAATCCCACTACTCTATTTAGAGATTCCAGTCACTCAATTAATTTTAAGATATCGGTTAAAAAGAGCATCCCCTTTACTCCAGAAGCTTGTAGTCTAATGGAGTGGGGAGGGGAAGGAGGGAGCCAGGACCTAAACACGTGAGTCCCCCAGGTAAAGTTATACGTGCGCATGCCCGTCACAGCCCCGCAGTGCTCATCATGCCCCGTGTACAAGGATCCGAAAGAATGAGAAGGTAAAGCAAGGAGAGTGAATTGTCAGGCTACATGATACCAAGTGGTGTCAATCTGGACAACTTGGACAAAGATGCCCATTTTATGATAAATAAAAAAGGAGATGGCTAGTATGGGGATGTCATATAATTCAGATTAAAAATAGCAGCTGGAGACGAAGCAGTACGTTTGTTTGCTTAAAATTGGGTGTGTGAGCTGACGTGCATCAGAAGGAAAGGGAGCTTGGGGAAAGGACAGAGGCATTGAAAAAAAAGGAGCAAAGTTAATGAGATGAAGAGACGGACAGAAAGGGAGGGCGGAGGAAGAAGTAAAGAAAGAACAGGAGGGTCAGCACACTAAAAATACACACCATATTTTTAGTATATTACTGTAACTCACTTTTATTTTGAATATAGGTTTCAAAACTAGGTTGACTCATGTTTTAAGCCTTCACTTTACCTTTTCAATTTTATTTGCAGTTTGATTGTCATTTGTAATGGGCAAAGTGGAATTAAGTAATCCCAGATTCAAAGGGGTTGCTGAAAGGTTCTGGATTTTTATTTGGTTTGTAAGAGTTCCATGGGGCTAATCTGTGTCCTTCCTTCCAAGGTGGATCGAATGTCTTTCCCATGTGGCTGCACTAAAGAAGGATGTAGTAACACAGCAGGTAGAATTGAATTTAATCCTATCCGAGTCCGGACCCACTTTTTGCACACAATAATGAAACTTGAACTGGAGAAAAACCGAGAGCAGCAAATCCCCACGCTGAATGGCTGCCATGGTGAGATAAGTGCTCACAGTAGTTCCATGGGCCCTGTCGCTCACTCCGTAGAATATTCTATCGCAGACAATTTTGAGATTGAAACTGACCCCCAGGCTGCAGTGCTGCACCTGCAGTCTGCTGAGGAATTAGATTGCCAAGGAGAAGAGGAGGAAGAGGAGGAGGATGATGGGAGTAGTTTCTGCAGTGGAGTCACCGATTCTAGCACTCAGAGCTTGGCACCTAGTGAGTCAGATGAGGAGGAGGAAGAGGAAGAGGAGGAAGAGGAAGAGGAGGAGGAGGATGACGAGAAAGGGGACAGTTTTGTGGAAGGCTTGGGTACACATGCTGAAGTTGTCCCTCTTCCTTCCGTCCTTTGTTATTCTGATGGCACCGCCGTTCACGAAAGCCACACGAAAAATGCTTCTTTTTATGCCAACTCTTCAACTCTGTATTACCAAATAGACAGCCACATTCCTGGAACTCCTAACCAGATCTCTGAGAACTATGCTGAAAGAGAAACTGTCAAAAATGGTACCCTCTCGCTGGTGCCTTACACCATGACCCCGGAGCAGTTTGTTGACTATGCCCGACAAGCGGAAGAGGCCTACGGCACGTCCCATTACCCAGCTGCCAACCCCTCTGTCATCGTTTGCTGTTCCTCTTCAGAAAATGACAGTGGTGTGCCCTGCAATAGCTTATATCCCGAACACAGGTCCAATCATCCTCAAATGGAATTTCACTCATACTTGAAAGGCCCCTCTCAGGAAGGGTTTGTGTCTACATTACATGGTGACAGTCACATTTCAGAGCATTCTGCTGAAAATTCTTTGAGCCTTGCGGAAAAGAGCAGATTGCACGAAGAGTGCATCAAGTCACCTGTGGTTGAGACTGTCCCTGTCTAGGATCTTAAGTTATTCTAGGACCTGCTCTTCTATTTAAAACACTGTATTTAATTGGATTTCCTGGGCTCATGGTTGTGTAAACTGAGGACCAAGAAAACTTGGACTGAATCTTCCAGACTGTATTTTGTTTTCTCCTTTCTAGCTGCGTGTCTGTGGCATTGCACAAATGCAGTCTCTATGAGGATTTTAAAAGATTTCAGACTGTTTTGATAGAAAATGCTAATTTTAAAAAAGCATATCTCACAATTGCCTACCTGTCAAACTGTGTGAAACCTGCCAAGTTGTGTAGATCAGAGCTCCAAGTTTTGGATTATCGGGCCTGTGCAAAATTGTTAACTAAGACTGGGAATTAATAAGATTTAGAGTCCTACTTTTCGATATTATCTGAAGATGATGGTGACTTTTTAAATGTAAAAGTAATTATTGTAAGAAAAAGATTTCATCGTTCCATGTGTATTTTATTTATGGTAGTTAGAAGTCATGTTTGATGAAAATGAACAGCAGCATGTTCTTTTAAGCTGAAGACACATAGTTAGGACCACCGAGCATGCCCCCATGGATTGCATCTGGAATCCATTCACGTTTTTATGATCATAACTGATCAGATTTGCAAATACTTTCTTAAGGGTGAAATAGGCCTATTTTTGCTATTTCGGACAAATAAATGAATCTATATGTGCAGGTCCTTACACAGTTTTCTCTAAAATTAAGAGTTAGGACAATCCTTTGGTGAGGGTCTAGTTCATTGCCCTCCTTCAGTTGACTCCAGAGATGGAGGTAGAAGGAATTGCCTTTCTTTTTTAAACAGCATCATCTCGGTTCTTAGCTTGGACAGCACCTTTAAACTCTACTCCCCTACATCAAAATGCACTTTAGTGCCCCTTCATGGTAACTTGTGAGGGGTGGGGACTGAGAAATCTTTGAGATGAAAAATTTAAAAAAAAATTTTTAAATCTGTATCTAGTATAAGGTTCATATAATTAATGCAGAGGAATCATCCAGTGATACTTTATGAAGGAAAAGTGACCTGTTTTCCTTCACCACTCTGAAGACCTAACTCGGTGAGAGCAGAGGAGGAGGCTGAGGAACATGGAAGAGACACAGTCTCAGCAACCAGCCTTTTCTACAGCAGGATCAATCCATCTCTACAAAGTGAGTGTGTGAGATTTCCATTTAGCGACCAGCTGATTGAAGGGGGGCCTCTACCCAGATACTCAACTAGGCCTTACTTTTCTGAAGCATTTCGATTTATCTTGCCTGGGACATTTAGCAGAACAGTCCAGAATGCATTGAATGCTCTCTAATTACCTCACGTTCTCTGTTAAAGGGGACAGATAGAAACAAAACATGCACTCCCCACCTTTAGGTTATCTGCACTTGGTTTGTCGGAGGACTTCTAAGTTCCCATGTTCCTGTAAATTAATTTAGGTAACTAAATAGTGTGTTTTATCTTCCTTTTTCAATACAATATGACTATGCTAAATCTTTTTTCCTATTTTTGACCTGTTGTTATATCATTTCACATTTTATGCCTCTTTGAAATGTGGACATGCCTTGCTATTCAGTGACTGCATTGCTACTTATTTTTTATGTTTCTTAGACTTGGATGTTTAGCAATATAGATATAAATATATCATAGACTTCAGTTCCTTACAAAAATACTACTTTCTTTAACTGAACTTAGAAATGATCCATCTAAAGAAAGTCCTCCATTGGAAAAGTTTCTACTAAAACTTGGGGAAATGTGTTTACGCGGCAGCTCCCCCACTGTGCAGTGTGTTCCTGCCCCTTCTCTGCCCCATCACTGGGCCAAATTGATAACTGTTACTATTAGCATTAAAGGATCTGTGGGTTTGTCCTTACGGAGGTAGCAATAATGAGGGCAGGGACATTCCTTTTGAAAGATAAGCCCTTTGGGCAAATGAGATTGGGGTTTTGCTCAAATCTCAGTAGTATATCTGGTATTGTCTACAAAGTTACAGGTTTTAGTGCTTATCTCCAAAAATTTTCTCCCTATCCACACAATCTAAAGAGCACAGGCCCAAAGAGAAAAATAATGAAAGGCTATTGTTCTTTATTTAAGCACAGGAAAGAATCGTGTGTGCCATATTTGCTGGACCGTTACAAACAACTGAAGTATTTACAAGTGGAGCGTGTAGCTTCTTCTTGGAACACAGAGCACGGCAGAGTGGGGAAAAGGTGGCTCTGGTTGGAGCAGAGTTGATGGGTAGAATGTCAGTCCAGTTTCGGAAAGGATAGATATTTAGTTCAGTTCAGCTTCATTTTCCAAAGAAGGCTGACGCCTACTTGTTTATGTTTGGCTGGTCTCTGTTTTGTAGCTTCATTTCCTAAAGGATGCTTAACCCAGAAACAGGCAGACAGACAGACAGACAAAAAACCCAGAGCATATGTCCCTGTCTGCCCGACTGGGGATAAAAGTCACTGCTACATAGAAACATTAACCTTCCAACCAAGACAGCTTCCATTCCAAAGTTTCATATACCTAATCTAACCCCTAAACATTTCCTACAAACTGCATACGCAGGTCACCTGTTAAAACACGCCCATATACCATGCATGCACATAAACACACACACACACACACACACACACACACACACACACACACACAAATAGATGTATACCACTCACTGGAGAATGACAGATTTTTATGCAATGGCCAATAATAAGTACTGAATTTTTCCTACCTTAGAATCTGGTTGGGTTTTATAACCTAAAAATGTGGTCTAGAAAAGAGTATAATTTTTAAAGCCATACATAATTTGAAAATATTGGGTCAAAGTTGCAAATAACACTAATGGTGGCATCATGTCATTGTTATTTCCTTTCCCAGAAAAGCTGAGAAAGCACAGTGTTCCATCTGACTTTTTTTCCCCATTAATAGCCCTTCTATTCAAAAAAATACTGCCCACATGCCAGGAAAGCACTACAGTTTTTCTAAGCTTTTTAAAATGGGGATCAAGCTAGATGCAGCCAGTCAGAACACTTAAGATCTTTATACCAAGACACAATGACCGGACCTGCTGCTCTTGCAGTGCCGCTGTAGTGTATCTAACCAAATTATGGTCTTTTTTGACACACAGCTCTTCAGTTATTCACTCTCAATGGCAAAGCTTCCTGCTTTAGTCCCTGTTGTTTTAGCACCAGCCCTCTACCTTTTATTGGAGCTTAATTCCCAGTTAGAATCCAGGCCAAATTGATTTGCAAGTCAAGAGGCCGGAGCAATGTGCATTTCCTTTGTCATTCTAGGTTTCCTTTGGGAAAAGGAAGTCAATGAAAGAGGTTTACTTAAGGTCCTGCCACCCCCTCCTCACCTCCAGAACATTGATTATTAAGACTTAAGTAAAATCTGTTTGTCTCATGTTTTTTGGTTAATTGACTACTATAGTTACATTTTGAAAGAAATTTTTTTCTTTGTGGTGAAACTCTATTTTCCTATTGTGCCAGCCACATATAAAATGTGGAATTAACATTTATTAGAATGATAAAATCTTGATAATTATATATAACTCAGCAATAAACAACTATGAGTTACAAATTAATCGAGAAGCAAAGAGATTATAGATAATTATGTTCTTTAAAATTTTACATTCAGATGACTTCTGAACAAAATTCTGGTTTGGTTATCATGAAACAGAAAATACGATTTTTTTATATATTTCTGGTTCTTTGATTAAACTTCTGATATTGTTGTACAAGTTATAACACTTTGGTTGTAATATCTAGAATTTATTAAGTAACAATCCTTTCTTCCAACAAATATTTATTGAACACCTACTATGTTAGAGGAACTTTCCTAGGTGGTAAAAATGTGGGGGGTGGGGGGACGCTCAAATTTCTAAGGGATTACAATGATGAAGACTGGCATGGAATAATCAAGCCTCATTATAATCCTTTTAATTTGTGATTTTATAAAGTGATATTAGAAAGTGTGACATCAGTTCTTGTCTAACTATATGCAAACTGCTGCTAAAAGGATACTTCTTTTTTTTCTAAATTAATGTGACTTCCTGTATCCTCCTCCTTTCCTCTGCCCCATCTGAAATTTATGAATTAAATCTGGACCCAGCTAGAATAACTGAATCTAACGAAAAAGAGATTTTTCAGCTAATTGCTTCTTCAGTGTGAGACCTATATAAGTGATGCTAAATTTACACCAGCAGTCTCCTACCAGACAATTTCAAAGGCTGGTTGACTCATGCATAACCCAGGAAACATTTCAGGAAACCTTTGTAACAACAATGGGAAACACAGTCACTCTTCTATTTATAAACAGCCTATCAAAAGTAGCAAAACCCTAGTTCCAAGTTTCAAAGGCATTGCCTTGCAGCCTGTAGAAAACAGAAGAGGTCATTCTGCCCTCTCGCTTAGCTGGGGTTACAAACCATCAAATTAGCGGGTGGAAAATTGACATCCTCAGAAGTCAACAGGAGACTGCCTATTTAAAAGGTGGCACAAAGCCTTCCATTTCTTCAAATATGACTTAATCTTTCCCTTTCAAATGGCATCTGCTCCTTATTCTCGCACAGAGAGCTCAGAGTGTTATTATTGTAGTCGGTATATAACATACCAACCTTAAAAGGAAAGCACTGGCATGTTTTCAAAGGCAAGATTTTACTGTCATTGAAGCCAGAGCTCTTTAGATCCTTAACACAACCAATGTCAAAAGTTTAAAGTCTTAATCATTCTTAATTCTAACACAGATTTGTGACTACTGGTTACATTATTCTGTCTGAGAGGTGCTCATTTGGGCTAGAGTAACTTAAATGCCTAAGCCTAATGCTCCAGCTTTGCACAAATAGCACAACTTATCAGATGTTTTCTATAGCATTAAATAATTTAATTGACTAACTTTAACTGAGTATCTGCAACTTGAAACCTCACTATAATTATGGAAATGTCAGGGTGGGGTGAGGTTGGGATATAAGCTTAAAAAGTGACGGTGTCTTCCTTAGAACCGTTAAGTTTCAGCAGAGCTGAAAAACTATAATTTGATTATAGGAGGAAATAGTAGATTCACAAATGGCAGTCCAAATCCTAGAAGAGGCGGTCACAGCGTGGACATCCTCGCAGCCCTGCGGGTGCTCACAATCAGCTGCCCACTGTGGCACCAGTTACCCCTTACTATCTAAAAATCATTTGATGCTTAAAAAAATAAAATAAAAACAGCTGTAACAAGCTGAAAAAAACTATTTTTAAGATTTAAACCTAATTTATATTACAATGACTGATGGACTATTGTCAGAAGTAATAAATATGGAAATAAAGGAGCTCTTTAATATTTACCTGCCAATCTGTATATTAGATGTGACTCTTAAAAAAAAACAGTCACTTCTAAGTTTGACTTTAACTTTTTTCCTGTCTTTCAACCCAGACCATGAGATGCCCCTTCCTAACCAATGCTGGTGCTTTGTTTTGTTTTCTTTGTTATCAAAATTCAAACTGAAAAGTTTTATATGAGCTGGATTTTACCTAGCAGGCAGTCCTGGGTTAGCCTAACTCTGTACCAGTCTGGAGAGCAAACACCACGGCCTGGGTTTTGAATCCTGACAGTGGTGACTCAAAAAGAACGGCGGAAGCGGGAAGGTGTGTACAACCAGATCTGAAGCCTAAACCAGTCCACGTGCTACACGCGATTTGTATCATCTAATTAACTGTAGCCTGGAATTTAGTAAATACAGATGCTTCTTACATTCATGGAAAATGGGGTGATTTCAAAGATTTGAGTCACGTTGACTACTTTTGCTTATGATACATACATAGATCACTATACAGGGTAATTTTTTATTTGGTATTTTACACTTATAATTCAAAAGAAGCCAACTCTAGCATGTCACTTTATTACATCTCATAAAAATTTCTGGCAGAACTAAAGTTTCAAAAATATGATAGAATTTATTTTGGACAACATTTGTGTTCAATATGCTAATGATGCCATTCCTCCCTTTGCATTGCTCATTACCATGGTGATAGTCCAGTCAGTTCAATAACTTTCATTTTAGTGATGTGTGAGGTCAGTTAAATATTTTTAAGATAATGTATATTGATTAGAAGAATTTAAGAGAAGACAAATTTATGGTAGAAATTAATCTTTCCTTTGTCTAAGTTAGTTTATGGGACCTAATTGATTTCCACTGTAATTTTGAAATAGCTTGTTAAGTATACCTCTTTTTTCTTATTTTGGCTTTCTCCTGATATTTTCTTTAATCTGGCTTAGGAGTATCTTAAAAGACATTTATTAATGAATATTTGGAAGAAAGTTGAATTGGAAAATATCTCTATAAAAATTATCTAGGGATTTCTGTCACCAGAGATCTTCATCAAGTCCTAGTGCCACTCTGAGTCCACACCAGAGACCCCGTCCCGGAGGTCTGGCTTCCTGATTAAAAAAAAATGACTCCACAAGTCCCCTAAGAAATTAGAGTTTGAGATTTTTAACTGCATAGCAAAATCATCCAATTTTGTTTTGCTCATTTTTATGTTGGCAACTAAGCTTATCTCCTTAGCCATAAATAAGCCGGCCATGTTTAAAACAAATTCAAAGATCTATGTATCATTTTGAAATTTTACTTAAATATAAAAGAGAAGGAAGAAGTGAAATGGAATCCATATCTGAGTTCTTCTGAGCAGGAGAAACTTAAATACCTAACTTGTCTGAGGTTAGTTTTATGTTTGTTTTTAGTTTGAGGGTTTTTTTTTACTTATTTATTTGTTGATCCGTAGGTGGTTTAATAATACCAAAAGTATATCAGAACTTGATAGACTTTAAATTTTAGTAGTTAGCAAAGTCATTTCCTTAATACTATAATCAAATAGGGTCCACTGTCAAAGGTTACTGTCTGAATCTTGATTCATTAGGCACTAGTCATGCCAAACCGTATCTCAGAATAGTTCAATTTTTTCAAAGATACTCACAATGGCCAACTGTGTGAACAAGGGAAAACTTGGGATTTTTCTGTATTCTCTGAACGTTATAGTCGTGAGACTAGTAGAGATCTCCAGAGGTCATCTGGCTCATCCATCTACCTCCAGGGAGGATTGTCGCTCAGGCATGCCCAACGGGATAGCTACCCATCTATTCTTCACATCTCTAGGGAAAGCGGTTTCCTTGGCAACACAATCCAGATCTCTTAGGTTTTTCTCACAATAAGAAAATATCTTGGCCAGTTGTTGTGAGCTAGGCACCTGGCAACAGTTGTGGTGATTTGGGCCATTGTACTGAGAGACATAAAGTTGGGTTTCCCCTACCTTTGATAATTGTTATATTTAATGATCCTATAAGTCTCCTAAGAAATTAGTTTTTAAAAATAAAGATATGGGTATTGAGACAATGCCTAGTAACATGACTTGCTCTTAACAAATAATGACTTTAGTTGGAGTTTTTATTTTGTTTTTGTTTTGTTTTATCTGTGGTGTCAGGAGACAATTTCAGGAAAAGTGACTTTCTGAGAAGTTAAAGTTTTTAAAAAAGCATTTTTAACTTCTTCTAAATAAATACTTTCTCATTCATGTTTCTTTACCCTAAAATGACAAATGAGAAATTCAAGTTTTCCCCTTCTAGGGAAGTTGGGACTAGCTGTGGAGAGTCTGATGTGGAATAAAATTACCCCAGAGAATTACTTGCCCACCATTTGATCCCAGCCTTTGTCTCCATGTTACTTAAATAATAGCTGCTTGCCTTCTCAAGGAGCAGCAAAATGATTTAAAATGTGTCACCCTGACAAGGCCTGAAAACGAATGGAGGCGTCCAGGAGGGCAGTGATTTTTTCTGATTACATCACTTGACCCAATCACTGCCTGCAGCTTTCAAAAAAATGTTTGGATTTTTTTTTTTCTGTTTGATTAGTTGCTTCCAACTCAGAGTCTGAACTAACCTGAAGATGAGGAACACCCCTGAAATGTTTCCTTTCTCCATGGGATTTTTAAAATCTAAGTACAGCTGCTTATCTTCCCAACTCGTATGCTCTTGTAAAATGACAGCCACATCAGCGTGGTTGACCACCATAAATAACACAAAGGGAAATAACCTTTCTTGCTTTAAAAAAAGCTATAGAATCTTCTGTAAAGAATGTTGAATCATTTGGCCCACGTTTTAATTGACTTTAGGCACCTCTATGGAAGTAAGTCTAAGGTGTAGTTCGTGAAACATGTTTCAAAAGTGTTTGATGTAAAATAAACGCTAGACATTTACAGTACAGAAATAGTTTTAAAAAATTTAAAGCCTGTAGATGATGACTCTGTTCCTAAGAACCTCCGCCTTTATTGTGTCTTAGTAAAGTTGATATGCTTTCATTTTAGTTTATTGCCTTTCTGGTGTAATAATAGCCTCTTAAGATAGTACTATTAATACATATGTACTGGTTATGCCTGTTAATGCAGAAAATGGCACTTTGTTATTTCAATGTGTTTCCCTCAATGTCACAGGGTATATCAATTTGATAGGAAAAGGTCATTTGACATTGGTCAAAAATGCATTTCCCCATTTAAAATGTATGTGTATAATCAGTTGCATAGACAAACGTAACCTTTTGCAGTATCTTTATCTTGATCACAATTTTAGACATTGACTGTGTCTCCACTTCCCAGCTGCCATAGAAATTTGATGCATTTGCAAATTCTGGTGAAATCTAGTGAGCTGAATGTAATGGTGGATCGAATGATCCAGAGCACTTGGTTGTTATCTTCCAGTCTATGTTGAACCATTTGGACATTGGGAATGGGCTTTACACAAGGGAAGTCTTTTGAGATTGTTTTGTTTTGCTTTATTCTTATTTGTTTTTACTGTGGACAAAAAAGTAATTTAAAAATTCAGATCAACTCACTGTAACATTTTTGACATTGTGATTGGTTTCATCTTTTAGTTGATTTCTGCTATTATGTTTACTCAATTTCAATAGTAATTTAATCACATAGAAAGGTCAGAAGAGGAGAAAATCAGACTATAATTCATACACAGAATCACTCACTGTACACTAAGATGTCATGTTGAATGTCACACAATTTCTAGACTGATTTCTCTTGTGTATAAGTTATAACATCAAAGATGCCAAAGGGTATATGAAATAAGCTACAATAATTTTGACAGAACCTGGACCTTATGTTGTAATAATTTATTCATATTAGCTGTAATCTTCTGTATTTATATTTTTCAGTATTTATTATGAATGACATGGAAATTTGTGTATTTATTGTGGCTTTTTATTGCAGTGTGTATATATATACATATATTACAAATAAGCATTTTTAAGTCTTATCCTTAAGTTTCTTTTATTAGTGGCACTTGTACTGTGCTGTACTTTTTATTATATATTGTACAATATCTTGTCCATTTGTTTGCAGCAGAGTAAAACTGGTTTCTAAGTTGTATCTGCTGTTGCAGTTTTGTTGCATTTTGTGTAAACCCTTTGCTCTGACATCCTGAGCTATCACAACACAGGCAAGAATACCTCCCACCCTCAGTGTAACAGACATTCTTAAAAAACTGTGTGAAGCCACCTCCTGTGAAAGGACTCATATTACCATCTCAAAGCTCTGTTAACTTCATGATGTCTGATCCCTAAGTGGAGATGCTTGTTAACATTTTCCTTCCCCAACTATTCAACTCCTTTATCAAGTGATGATGTAGAAGTAAATATGAGGGAGGGCCAGGAACCCCTTATGCAACTGAAATTGAGGAGGATATTTTTACAAAGACATCCAACCTCTTTAAGTCACACCCTGTAATTCACCTGGTCAGTAGTGTTTGTGTTTTGTTTTGCTTAAAGCAGGATCTGTGTGATTTGATGTTTAGAATATATGTGTACACATAGGGACCTACATAGTCTACCTGTTTAATAATGCCGACTTAAGGTAACCAAACTTATTTTTATTGGCTGTAGAATGAAGGGAGAAGAAAACAGATACTTCCTAATCTATTATATGCAGGTCACTGTCCTCAAACAACTTGTTTTCTTACATCTGGACACTGTTTTCATATTTTTGACAGTTAAATAATATGTGATTGAGCCATTACCCCAAAACTGAAATGTGGTTGTTTTGGTCACTTAAAACACAGCCCTGTGGTGCTCCTCCCTCACTGCCAACAAGATAAAATCCAAACTCTTCGATATGCCCCATGAGATCTGGGTACTACAAACCTCTCTCACCTATTTTTGCTCAGCAAGCCCCCCCCGCCGCCCCCACTCCCCGTGGCTTCCCATGGCCTCCCGCGCCCACAGGAAAGCCTGCTGGGACTTCCCTGCTACTCCACTTGTCCCTGCCTCTGCCTGCCCCCTTCGCCCAGAGTGCACACCCCATAACCCCATCTGACAGCACAATTCCAACGACCACCTATTTTTTAAGAGAAAACTCAAATGCCCGTTCCTGATTCTCCAGAGATTTGATTACCTGCTCTTTTATGCTCAATCTGAAGACATCTACTAAAGCCTAAGTCTCACTGGATTCACTTATGTATGTATCTACTCCCTCTACAGGACTTTCTGATAACAGAAAATGTGTGTTTTTACCCTCCATGTCCTCCTCCTCCAGGAACAAGGCAGATGCTTAAAATACATTTGCTGATGCATGCGCAGTACAGAAATGAGTAGTGCATTTATAGGAGTTCAGATGAGGGAGACAGCTGGTTGAGAGGGAGGAGAAGGTGCCCGATTCTAAGGGAGAGAGAATTTCAGCTGATAGGGGACATTCTATATTCAACATGATTGGACAGCTTGAGGAAAGGCTGAGTCACAACTAAGTCACCCATCACCCTCTTCTGTGCAGGGCACTAAAGTTGCTAAGAGCAGTTGATTTACCTTCAGGAGCAAATGAACAATCAGATGAGGAGGATCTATTCAAAGATTGCAGAACTTTAAAAAACCAGTCCAAAGAGTCTCTCTCATACCCTTAGAGAACTGTGAATATCCTATGGTATTAGAAGAGGAAGTTCAACCAAGTAAGAGTGATGTTTAGTCATGTGGAATCTGCTTGCAGTACACAGACTGGGAAGATGGGAATGCCAAAGTAAAAGTCCTATTGCAATCACTATTCACTCAAAGAGTAATTGAGGAACGTGTATAAAGGACACATGGACAAAGCCAAAGAGGGATAAGATTGAGGGTGGGAGGTTGGGAGATGACGGGGAGTGGTGGGAGGGAAATGGAGACAACTGTACTTGAACAACAATAAATAATAAATAATAATAATAATAATAATAATTGTCCGCACCTATTCTGTTTAGGACACTGTACTAGAGAACCAGAAGGCTGCAGTGAGAGAGACAGATGGGGTTCCTCCAAACAAGTAAGTGTAGGGGTTTAGGAGATTATGGTAAAGAAAAGGTCAGCTATCTGAGGGCCTACTGAAGTATGAGAGATTAAGAATAACAAGATTATCGTCTTAAAATACTGTAGGTGGAGCCCTGGCCAGGTGGCTCAGTTGGTGGGAGCATCAGCCCATGCACCAAAAGGTTGCGGGCTTGATCCCCAGTCAGGACACATACCTAGGTTTTGGGTTTGATCCTTGGCGAGGCATGTATAGAAAGCAACCAATCCATGTTTCTCTCACACATGGATATCCTCTCTCTCTCTCTCTCTCTCTCTCTCTCCCCTTCTACTCTAAAATCAATAAACATATCCTCAGATGAGGATTTAAAAAAATACCATAAGTGGAGTATGGGGAAAGAGTTAACACAATAGAGGTACCATTAAAATGGATCCTGGATCCCTGGCTAGTGTGCTGTCCTGTGAACCAAAGGGCCGCTGGTTCAATTCCCAGTCAAGGCACATGCATGTGTTGCAGTGCCCAGTAGGGGGCGCTTGAGAGGCAACCACACACTGATGTTTCTCTCCCTCTCTTTCTCCTTCCCTTCCCCTCTGTCTAAAAATAAATATTTTTTAAAAAAAATTGATGCTGGAATACTCAATAAAAATAACAGATGGACCGAAAGAAATGTGAGTCTAGAGCTTAGATAAAGATATAAGGTTTGGAGTGAATGAGCACTTTAAGAGGAGATGTAGAGATAGGGCATAATGGACAAAACTGAATCCTTGAAATGTGTATTCTCCAGAAGCAGTTGGTGAGGTGGAGTTTAGCAAGCAGGGTTTTTTATTAAGGATCAGTACTGTGGAAGGTGGGGGAAAGAGAGAAATCAAGCTGTGATGCAGACCCAGCACAGCCACTCAAATCATCCCCACCTGGGTATTCTGAAGTATAAAGGGCTCTTCAGAAGCTAATGTGCTGAAAGTGGCTGGGCCTTAGTGCTGCCCCACAATCAGCCACTGGGCGCAGTCCACCCCAAGAAGGGAGTGCTCTGGGGTGAGTTTTGCTCTGTAGTAGAGAAGATACCTGAAGAAAGCTGAAAGCTGGGGGCTGTTTGCTGACAGAACTCCCAGAGACCAAGAAAGTTCTTAAAGGTGGCACAGCTCTGTGTCTTCCAGTCCCTCAGATCTACTTCATTTAAATTTCAGGGAGCAGACCTTCCAAGATTCTGGAAAACTTAGAAAAGTCTGGTTAGTAGAACAGACTATGACCTTTGTCACTCCAACTAGTCTTAGAACCACAACTGACACTGAAACCATCTCCGTCTTTCATCTTTTACTATAAATTCTACATTCTCCTCAGCTTCAGCAACCACTTCTGCTCATCTCAGTGGTTGGCATTGTGGTTTGACACATCTAAGTGGATATTCCCTCCCATTCTCATTGTCTGACAGTAGACCCATCTCTTCCTGACAATCAAGGTCAATTGCCTTTACTGAAGAGGTGACTCTTCTTCCTACCTAAAATGCCCAGGGTGCAGTACTTAGCTTAAAAGTTTCATGAGAATCTTAGGGCTCCTGCTAACAGTGTTCTTGCTCTGGGAACTAGGACTTTTAGTCCAGCAAAGCCTGTAGAGTGGTGGGATAGAAGCACAATTTTCCCCATTGGGTCATATTACATGGGGCCACTCCTGCTTTCACCCCCAAGGGAAAGTTGGGGGCTGTTTGCTGACAGCACTTGTGGTACAGAACACATAGGTTCCTACTAGAAACATAATACTATATAAAGGTTTTTGATCCAATATATACTGCACCTTGAAACATGGTAAGTACCCCATCCTGCAGCATACCACCTTCAAACTCGCACTTCTGCTTTTTCAGCAGGCTAGGCATCACTGCCAGGCCACCAGCTTCTGAGTCCGTGATATGAGCAGCGGGGTTTCACGGTCACGGGCCCACTCCCATACCTTTGTTCCTGTAAGTTAGTTCACCTGCTCTGATAATGTTATGTGAGATTCCATATGGGTAGATCAAATACATCATAAGCCCTGCAGCTAAAAAGAAAGATAAAATTAGACTTGGGAGAAATATATATATACAGGGTGGGCAGATGTAGGTTTACAGTGTATGTGAAACACAGTTTATTCTTGTATTATTTTTTAATTATTGAATTATTTTTCATACAAATGACTGTAAACTTACTTTTGCATATATACATTTTCCATATATATACACATACACACACACTCACTCACACACATATATATATTTTTAAGACCCCTGGTGGTGCCAGGATGGAAGAAGTGTCATGTAATCAACCCACCCAGTGCCAGGTTGTGATCCAGAAGAACACGCCGTACTGAGGGCTCAGCATTGCTCTCTGCTGCAGGCAGTCTGTGCATTTGGCAGCAGCAGTCGCTTTATCAGCCTTGGTAAATGGGAGGCCATGTTCATGGGCCTAGTCTTCATATTGTCACCAACTGCCACCCAATCCATGCGCCTGTCAGGGCAGCGCTGGGTTAGCCAATGGCTGAGACTGGCTTCTGTCACCTGGCCAAGTTACTCTGTCTATACCCATACTTTCCAAAACAGTGTGAGCCACAGGAGTGAGTTATATTTTCTAGCAGTTACTTTAAAAATAGTTTTTGTAAAGGTGGGTATTACCTTTAATATATTTTGTTTAATCTAATATTAACCTTAACCTAAAATAAAAAATATAATTTTAACATATAATCAATAGAAAAATTATTATTATTTCCCATTATTTTTTGAACCACTAAGTTTTGAAATCCAGTGTGTATGTTACACTTACAGTGTGTTTCAGTCTGGACTAGTCCATGCAGCTGGTGAATACAGTGTTGGACACCCAAGGTCCATCCTGTTCTGCAGCGTCTCTTCTGTGGTGGGTGCTCTCTGGTGGGTGTTAACATGTGTGCCCACTTCCACATATCTATCCCCATGATCATACCCAAGACCTTCTTTTCCCTAATCTTCTAATGACTCATCTTTCAGGCGCCTGACTCATCCGTGAGGCCATTCACATCTGTGCATGGGTCCATATATATTCTTACAGAGCCACACAAAGAGAATAACTGGACAC